CCTCCAGATGGGATGCTTAATACCACGGTTTCACTTCCCTCCTTTCCCTGAGCTGTTCATCTCCTAATGTATACTTCATGGACACTCGTGCCTTTCCTGAGTTTCTTCTGGGGTGGGGGTGGGGTTGTTTAATTAAGCCAAGTGAGGAAACCCTGCATATTCTATCTCTGCAGAGTGAACATGTCTTAATCATCATTAGTTCTGAAATGTTCTTTGGTAGAGGAAACAAATCCCTTTTGTTCACATTATTAACACAAAAGAAGATATGCTTGGAAACTTTTTTGCCAGCCGTGATGCAGGCAGAGGTGTGAGGCAGAGGTGGGATCTTCTGAAACTCTAGTGAACATTAGACACTCCAGAAGGGTTTGTTACAACTCAGACAGAGCTGGATCCACCCTAGGTATTCTGCTCCCATGGGCCTGAGTCGGCCCCAGAACGTCTGTTTCTAAGGAGTTACTAAGAAGTCCAGATCCCCATGGTCTAGGATCTCATGTTAGGAAGCACTGCAGTGGAATATTCAGTGGGCTCTATGATCCTCAGCAAGCCTGAGTGGAGTCGTCACTACAATCCATCCCCCACCCCCACCCCCTGGGGGGGGGGCTTGAGGACCAAAGCTGAGACTAAAAATGTGAAGATTGCCCTCTTCTTTACAAACTATGAGGTTGTTACTTACGAGTTTAGGAAGGGAGTGTAAACACAAAGTCTGCACAGCGTTAGAGCAAGGCCACAAGCAGCTTCAAGAAGCAAGAGCAAAAGACTACTGCATCAAATCCTCAAGGTGTGGTGGCAGGCCTTCGAGAAGGGAGATTCGTGACCAAGTGGATGAGGACTTCAGAAGAACATCTGGAGCTGCTGGACAGACGTAGGCACCTCCAGGCAGAAAAGAGACTGTCCAGGGCTCTGAGCACCGCCAGGTTCTCCTGGGTCCGCGCTGTCCCTTGAGTGTCCGATAACCACACTTCCTGGTGCTCGCAGCTTGTGTCCCTTCCTAGCTTCCCTGCTGTCTTTCAGAAAGAGAGTCTGGACTGGGAAGTGGCGGGCAAGAGCCTGGGTGTTAGAGAAACCCTTCTAGCAGCCAAATACTGTGAATAAACGGAGCAGATGCCCTTCCTGCTGAGTAGACTCTGCGTCTTAAGTGCCACCGATATCCATACAGCAACTGTCTTGTGTCTGGAGAGGGCCTGGACTGAGTCTGAACTATACCCTGTGATCCCTCCTGAGAGCTGCCCCTTTGGAGCTGCATAATGATCTCTCCCTGAGTTTAACACGACTGCTACAGCACTGAGAGGCCTCCACCATGATCCTTTGCAATCACAGATCTGATCACAATGGTTCCTACAGAAAACACCTCAGTGGCTTTCCTAGGCTCTTCACAAAAAGACAAGAGTCTAAAAATATAATCCTCTCTAGTTCAAAAGTTTGCTGGCACCAACCCCCAAAATTTCCCACATCCAGTATTTTTTAATAGTCAAACAAGGGCTTGAGGGATAACTCAGTAAGCAAAGTGCTTGAGGACTTGAGTTAATCCCTAGAAACCACATAAAAACAGCTAGACATGGGGGACCCCAGCACTGGGGAGGCATAAAGAAGCCAGCCTAGTTTAATTGGTCAGTTCCAGGCCAGTGAGAGATCTTATTGAAAAAATGAGAAAAACCGGTACCTGAGAAATGACGACTGAGGTTGTCCTTTGACCTTCAGATGCATGAACACCTTACACAGTCAAAGAAGCAGTTTTTTAGGCACTTGGGGCTCGCTTCTTTGCTTGCTTGCCTTCCTGTGGCATTACACACAGTATCCACCGACCACTCACATTGTACAGTCTGGGATTCCACTGCCCTTCGTACTTCCCTCAGCCAGAGGCACTTCAGAATGCCGTGGAGTTACATCACTAAGAGCCCTCTCCAGCTCCTCTACCTTGGTGTTACTGTGCCCTCCTCTCCTCTGGAGAGCAGTCCCACCCTTCCAGAACACAGTGCACGGTGCTGTGTGGATTGCCCTCTCATCCTCTGCTCAAGCACTGCCCATTGAGGTTTGTCTCTCATGGGCCTGTGGTCAGCCCTTCAAACTGTCTACAACTGACCATCAGGTTTAAGCATGCTGGCCTCTCTTCTGGGCAGCTCAGGATTTCTTGGCCTCATCTCCGAGGAAACCCCTGTCCCTCAGGACTAAAGGGAGTTACCTCATCACTACTGCTTACAGTTCCTTGTGTGTCTGATTTCCTTGCTTCATTTGGACAAATTACCATGCATCTAAATTTCTATGATAATTTCCCGGAGTCACAGATATAAATGTCCTGGAATCATCTGATGATTATGTCCCTTTCCTCCATATGGCAATCTCTGGGACTTTGGGCCTCATGTTAACTTTCCTCCCCACCATAACCCCAGCATACAGCCCACGTCTGGGACCAAGCTGGCGCTCATAAAGTAAATACTTACACGTGGGGGCGTGGGGGGGGGGACAAAGAATGAAATTGCTTGATAAAGATCATGTTGATGTAAAATTTTCCAGGTTCTTCTAAAAAACATGTGGACTTTTCTGCCCAGGGAAGTCAACATTTTGCCCCACTGGATTCAGTCATATTGATGCTGGGCTCTGTTTATTTCTTTGTGAGACTCACAAAGTTCCTGGTGCATTAGTGAACTAAATTGCCAGCCCACTTCATTATCTGTGGCACATCGGATCCACCTTTCCTTCCTTCCTTTCCTTCTTTCCCTCCCTCCCTTTCTTTTTTTTTTGTAGATGGGCTCTGATTATGTTGTCCAAGGCAGCCTTGAACTCTTAGACTTAGTGATCTTTCTGCCCTAGAGTATCTTGAAGCACTGGTCCTTGCCACTACACCCAGACAAAATAACCTTTTCACCTGACTCACACAGATCTGACCACTTCAGCCCCAGTCCAGTAGGCAGGAGATGAGAGGAGGGGAGATGAGAGGAGGGGAGGGGAGGGGAGGGGAGGGGAGGAGAGGAGAGATGAGGAGGGTTTCAAAAGATCACTTTATCATATCACTTTGCTTCCGTTGTTCATATTTGTTAGTGTGTAAATTAAAAGCTCTGTTTAACCAGAAATCATAATGGAATGAAGTGGTTACCATGGCTAGAGGATTGCTAGCCTGTGTGAAATACCATCACCCTATCGGATGTCCTCTGCCACCTGCTTGATTGATTTGCTGAAAACCGAATGCGTGTGTGCAAGCGCTGGAGTGAACCAATGCACGCATTCCAGTGCTGGAGTGAAAACCAATGCATGCATGCCAGTGCTGGAGTGAAAACCAATGCACGCATGCCAGTGCTGGAGTGAAAACCAATGCATGCATGCCAGTGCTGGAGTGAAAACCAATGCATGCATGCCAGTGCTGGAGTGAAAACCAATGCATGCATTCCAGTGCTGGAGTGAAAACTAATGCATGCATGCATTCCAGTGCTGGAGTGAAAACTAATGCATGCATGCATTCCAGTGCTGGAGTGAAAACTAATGCATGCATGCATTCCAGTGCTGGAGTGAAAACTAATGCATCATGCATGCCAGTGCTGGAGTGAAAACCAATGCGCGCATTCCAGTGCTGGAGTGAAAACCAATGCATGCATTCCAGTGCTGGAGTGAAAACCAATGCACGCATTCCAGTGCTGGAGTGAAAACTAATGCATGCATGCCAGTGCTGGAGTGAAAACCAATGCACGCATTCCAATGCTGGAGTGAAAACCAATGCATGCATGCCAGTGCTGGAGTGAAAACCAATGCACGCATTCCAGTGCTGGAGTGAAAACTAATGCATGCATGCATTCCAGTGCTGGAGTGAAAACTAATGCATGCATGCCAGTGCTGGAGTGAAAACCAATGCGCGCATTCCAGTGCTGGAGTGAAAACTAATGCATGCATGCATTCCAGTGCTGGAGTGAAAACTAATGCATGCATGCCAGTGCTGGAGTGAAAACCAATGCGCGTATTCCAGTGCTGGAGTGAAAACTAATGCATCATGCATGCCAGTGCTGGAGTGAAAACCAATGCGCGCATTCCAGTGCTGGAGTGAAAACCAATGCATGCATGCCAGTGCTGGAGTGAAAACCAATGCACGCATTCCAGTGCTGGAGTGAAAACTAATGCATGCATGCCAGTGCTGGAGTGAAAACCAATGCACGCATTCCAATGCTGGAGTGAAAACCAATGCACGCATTCCAATGCTGGAGTGAAAACCAATGCACGCATGCCAGTGCTGGAGTGAAAACCAATGCATGCATTCCAGTGCTGGAGTGAAAACCAATGCATGCATTCCAATGCTGGAGTGAAAACCAATGCACGCATTCCAGTGCTGGAGTGAAAACTAATGCATGCATGCCAGTGCTGGAGTGAAAACCAATGCGCGCATTCCAGTGCTGGAGTGAAAACCAATGCATGCATGCCAGTGCTGGAGTGAAAAATAATGCATGCATTCCAGTGCTGGAGTGAAAACCAATGCACGCATTCCAGTGCTGGAGTGAAAACCAATGCATGCATTCCAATGCTGGAGTGAAAACCAATGCACGCATTCCAGTGCTGGAGTGAAAACCAATGCACGCATTCCAGTGCTGGAGTGAAAACCAATGCATGCATTCCAGTGCTGGAGTGGTGCTCAGTGGCAGAGTGCCTGCTTTACTTAGTGTATGTTCAATGCCCAGTAAGAGGAAAAAGGGTCAGTCAGCTGGGTGCTAATTCATGTGGTTTATTACTGAATCCATGCAAAACTGAAAGCACCATCCCCTTACACACACACACACACACACACACACACACACACACACACACACACACGGAGGGAAAAACAAGAGAAAGAGAGGCATGTATGCACACAGCAGGCTATTGATCCCTTAATAAGCGTTTCCTGAACTCCTATCTACTTTAGTCAGACTGGTCCACCCCACTCCCTCCACTTTATGGAACTTTCCCTACACTGAACATGACCTTTCAGGAAGTAGCCAAGTCATCAAAAGCAACAAAGGCAGCAGCCATGAAAACATCAGTACCAAAGGAATGCCCGCAGTCCTGGCCCTGCGATGAGGAGTACTCGAGGCAGCCGGCTCTCTCTTCCAGGGGCGGGCAGGGTGCCCCTCCGTTCAGTGGCTCCTGCTGCACTAAGCGCCTGCGTACACGCGTCGTGGGCCGGCACTGGCCGGCACAGCCACTCCAGGGACTCCATTCTCCCACAAAGCAAGGGCGAGCTGGGAAAACAGAATGACAGCACGCTCACCTGAGTAAACCCTGTCAGCCGGGTTGGTCTGCCCACGCAAACAGCGGCTTATCTAGCTCGTGTAACTTCATAAACTCAGCCATGACTGTATTCTGGGAACACAGCAAGTCCCAGAGACATGAACTCCCCCTACCCTGATGGTTAACCGATAAGTATGTACTTCTGAGGAGGTCCCGGATCTTGAGGGGTGGCCAGGGACACATCCCAGGTAAATTGCTACAGGATGCTTCCTCATACTCCTAGGCTTACAAAGCTTTCTTTCTCCTCCCCCCTTAATAGTAATTTTTATCCCCACCCCTGACCATAATATGATTTTCTTTCCAAATTATATTTTCACTTGTACATATTTATGGAAGATGGTGTGGTGTTTCAATACATGTGTACAGTGTGTAATGATCAGATTATTCATTGGTAAGTCAATTTTCTTAAATACGGAACTAATAGCCATTCCAGTTAACAGCCACAATCACCGAGCTGTGCTACAGAACATTAGGAGTTATGTCTCCTAACTGTATCGCTCTACCTGTGACTATCCTTTCTCCATTCCCTCTTCCTCCCTCCCTCCCTCCCTCCCTCCCTCCCTCCCTCCCTCCCTCCCTCCCTCCTTCCCCAGAGCCTTATTAACAGTAATATACGTTCACTGTAAACCAGAGAAAATAATTAAATAACAAAAATGTACCTTACCCACCAATAGCCCCAGTACTTGCTGATCAATCCTTATAGAAAATGTAATATAGCTATAGTGTGACTCAACAGTAATAACAACAAAATTGTCACATAGACCTGTGGGATAGAACAGAGGACCCTGCCGTAAGTCCACATAACTACAGCCACCTGATTTTTCACAAAGAAGCAGAAGCACACACACACTGGAGGAAAGATACCTGCCAAGTCCAAAAGCACCCCCCCCAAAATGCCACTGCTGGTGGCACTGCCCTAAATAGAAGGACTCTGACTGGGTAAACGGAAGGGCCGTTATTAGGCAAACAAGACTAAATGTTTCTGTTCACAGGAATCCACCCATAACCTTCCCCCGAAAGGTTCACCACCCCTGGCAAGGGCAGCTAGTACTGGACCAATGGAGACAGCCTGTGTCAGCTCAGATCCCTACCCTGCTGGCTATCAGGAAATCAGCTTGCATTTCTACCATTTGCTTCTCTAAATGATGCTGGGGAAACTGGATATGTATATGGAGAAGAATGAAACTGGATGCTTATCTCTCTCTCATCCTGAATAAAAATCAATTCCAAGAGGATCAAAGATCTCAGTGTTGTCCCCTGAAACTGCTACAAGATAAAGCAGTGTGTCTGCTCTAAAAATGTGGGCAGGACTGTCTGAATGGGGCTCCAGGAAATAAGGCCAAGAACTGACAAGTGAGATCTCACGAAACGTAAGAGCTTCTGTATCGCAAAAGAAACTGTTTATGGAGTGAAGAGGCAGCCTACAAAATAGGAGACAATCTTTGCCAACTATACATCTGACAGAACTAGTGCCTAGAAAACTCAATATCAAGATAACAAATGACATTGTTAAGAAATGGTCTGTGCACTGTCTACCATACCAGGAGCTGGGAGACATTAAAGGTGAACTTGTTTTTATTGATTGACCAGTTTTCCTCTGCCTTTCTATCTGCTTTCTCCCATTTTTGTTTACCTTTGCACACAGACCCCCATTTAATAAATGCTATGGATCTTAGGCTAAATAAATAAATAAATGATGGTTTAAAAGACTGGAGCTCTCAAAAGAAGCACAAACGACTAATAAATACTTTTAAAAGTGTTCAACATCCTTAGTCATCAGGGAAATGCAAATTTTAAAAAGTGCTTTGAGATTTCATCATACTCCAGTAAGAATGGCTATTATCAAGGAAACAAATGACCGCAAAGGCTGGCAAGATTGTGGGGGAAAGGCAACCCTTATTCACTGTTGTCACTAGAGTTAAACTGGTAGAGCCACTATGGAAATCTGTGTGGAGGTTCCTTCAAAACTCTAAAAATAGAACGGCCGTTTTATTCAGCAACACAACTGTGGTCTGTCTCCTAAGCTAGAACACAGCACACTTTCCCCCTGAACCTCTCTTTTCTTTGGTTTTGTTGAAACAGAGTCTCTCTACGTAGCCCTGGCTGTAACGGAACTTACTTTGCAAACAAAGCTGGCCCCAAACCCACAGAGATCTGCCTGACTCTGCTGTAATTAAGACATGTGCCACCACACCGCCCGGCGCCACCTGAGCCTCTGGAATCCTAGTATTATAGATCTGTCCCTGAGCTAGATGCTAAAACTTTCTTTTCTACAAAACAAGATCCCCTTCCCCTATTGCCCTCATACTCAAGTCCATAGTGCTTCTTATATACAACCTCTCTGACTTTTGAAAACTTCTTTGTTTCCCAGCATACTCTAGCTGAGAAGTCATGATTTGGGGAGGACATATTTAGTAACATATATCTTATCCCTAGTAAGAAAAGTGTACACAGAATCCAAAGTTCAAGAAACTTTATACTATTTAAAGCATCCTTCATCTACTATCCAAAACCCATTGGTATCACATGTCAACCACCTTCAAGCACAAGGTGAACCATGTTGGTCTCCTAACCCTTTGGGAAATCAGAAACATGTCACTTCTTGCTCTGTTCATCTCTGATATCCTTCTTCATTTGAATAATGTGTCTAAAGGTGGAACTCCACAGTTCATATATTGATGGCCTCGTTGTGACTAAGATACTGAACAATCTATGGACCATTTAAAATTGTCTATTCAAGGCCCTTGTCCATTTTTAAATTGCATTTTTAGCTTTCTGTTCTTGTAGAGTTGTAGGATGAATAGTAAGTTCTTGTCAAATTGATAGTTTTCATATGTTTACTTCTATGCCTGTCTTTTTTCTTTCTTGGTGGTGTCTTTTCATGCAAAAAGAAAAACTGTTTTTGTAATCCAATGGAGACTGACTCACCTATTTTTGTTGCTGGCTTACCTGTGCCTTGGGCTCAGAACTGGGTGTATTTTGACACACAGCTGCCACATTGTGGAGAATTTTCCTAGTGATTTCTCCTACAAGTCTATAGCTTGTCAGGTCTTTTATTAACTTTAATATTTGTCTGTGGAAATAAGCATTGGTTTGCATTTGGATACCCAGTCTTCCTGGCACCACTTGAAGAGACCATCCTTTCTCCTCATCATCTTAGCACCCTTGTCAGAAGCTCACTAACCAGTAGCCAGGTGTGGCGGCACACACCCACCTTCTCAGCACTTGGAGACTGAAGTAGGGGCCTGGGAATTCCTGGTTAGAGAGTGAGACTTGTTTCAGAGGTGTCCATCTATATAGTGGGACAGGTGTGGTCAAACAGAGCAGCCCATATCATGTCATCAAGGAGACGGAGAGAGCCCCTCTCCAGAAGCCACTCTGTAGACTCCCCGGCTGGTAATTGGTTGTGAAAGATGTCTCTGACCTTCATTCTTCCTTTACCTCACTTCCTCCCTGGACCTCCTCATCCGGAGTCGAGCTGGTCTTTCATGTGTTGAACTTGAACAACACTTAATATTTGGATTTTAAAATTCATTTATTTCAAATTTTAAATTTTGAGCAATACTATAATATAAAATTGGGCCATGCCATTAGCTTGGAATTTAGCTTAGGTTTGACTTTTACCATACATTAACAGATGACACTGGGGAGTATTTTCTGAAAGAATTGAGTCTCTCGGGAATTCTTTGAAACTGTGTCTCATGCCCAGAATTTGTTTGGTTGGTTTGGTACCATGACTGAATTCTTCAGAGGTCACAGAATCACTGCGTCAACTGTTATTCTTATTGTCTAAGATGTGTCCTTGACCAAAAAAAGTTAGTTGCTATTTTTCCTATCTGACTTTCAAATTCCCGTAAAGAGCTGAGTATCACAGTGTATCTGTAGTCCCAGATACTAAAGGGCTGAGACTGGAAAATTCATCAGTAGCCTGGACAGGGTTTATTGCAGCCTAACTCAAAATAAATAAATAAATACAAACAGAAGTTCTAGGTTACAAGACAATGTCTCCATGGCTTCCACCTAAGACAAAATGGAAGAGGGGTTGAAATATAATTATGTGAATAAAATTGTGTTCCATAAGATTTTGTGCTAGATTACTCTGGTATATTTATTTGCCTTCCACTGGAAGGATCTATTCTTGATTCTCTTATGAACTTTTGATTGAGTTGGAATTCACTGTAGACCACAAGAGATCATTGTACAGGAACTTCTGGCAGATTTATTACAAGTCATATATTAGAGCTGCATGACAGGTATTTCCTTTTGAACTATTTCATTAACAGCCCTGCCCCTTTCCCGCTAAACTTATCTTTACAGACAACATGCTAGAATATTCTTTCTTCAGATTCAGTCTTCTCATTCTTTACATCTGCCTTTACAGCTGTAAATGGGGTCTGTCACTGTGTTACCTAGTTAGCTGGTGCATGATGGCTCTGGACTCCATGCTGGTCAGCTGTTTAACTGTTAGGATTTGATGGCATCATTCCACTCCCTTTTGAGGAAGGAAGTCTAGATTTAATGAGTGCAGGAAATTCGGTGACGTCTTTCTCTTCTTTGTTTAAACTGAGCCCAGTATTCAGGTTGGGTTTTCTACAGAAGCAGCCTATGGGATGTGGACTTGAATGCAAGGCCTTGATTTGGAAAGTGGAGAGCAGACACAAAATACACATCTGTTCCTACCGTTGGCCTCGCACACCTCTGACTCTCGCCTCACTGGACCGTGAGAGTAATGAATCTTCCAGAGAGTGAGGAATGATGGAGTTCTTCTTGTTGGTTAACTGGTCTCAGATACCCCTACCTCCAGGCACAGAATGACCAAGAACAGAAAAGCAGTTATACTGCATACAAGAATAAGGTACATTTTTACATGTTCTGATAGGGAGAGCTGGTCAAATCCAAAGTCAATAACCTTAAAAACTGTCTCACTATTTATTGTTTTCAGACAGGGTCT